AGATGTGTATAAGAGACATGGCTACAATTGACGGTTGAAATTATTTTACATTGGTCTGAAATGTATAAATTCATAATTAACATGTGGTATTAACAGGAATAAATGCATCTAACGATTAACTTGACGATGACTGTCTGAACGCCACACCTTACCGGCTGGCGTCAAAAGAAAGAATAGCGCCTACAACGCTACAAGTAGCGCAGTGAGTACTAATCAACTACTAAACAAATGCTACGCGCTATGCGATGAAGCTGCGGCTACAATACCAGATCTAAAATAATACCACGTTTGTGAAATCTGGAATAGAAATATAGCAGTTGGCAACGCTGGACTCTTCATGGAATTGAATTGCAGTATTTCCCTACCCAGCAGTCGAGAAGGAAGCAACGGCCATCGTGGAAGCGGTGCGTAAATGGAGCCATTTTCTGGCTAGACGCCCATTCACATTGCTCACGGATCAACGTTCAGTTGCCTTCATGTTGGACAGAAGGAAATGGACAAAGATAAAGAACAACAGGATACAATTGTGGAGATTGGAGCTTGCATCATTCAACTACTCTATAAAATATCATCCAGGTAAGGATAATGTAACTGCAGATGCGCTAACAAAAATCTTCTGCTTTTCGGCCCCCTCGTCATCAACGCTCGTCGAAATTCATAATATACTTAGTCATACAGGGGTTAGACGACTGCTACACTTGGTTAGACTGAAGAACCTCCCATTCTCAACCGAAGATGTTAAACGTACATGTGCTTCATGCAAAATTTGCGCTGAATTGAAACTTCGTTTCTGCAGTCCTCCAAATGGAACCCTCATAAAAGCCACCCAGCCAATGGAGCACCTAAGCATCGACTTCAAGGGACCTCTTCCATCGGCTAAGAAAAATACGTATATCCTCACATTAGTAGATGAATGTTCCCGCTTCCCCTTCGCCTACCCATGCCCAAATGCGCAATCGCCGCAATGCTCCACGGAGATCAAATGCCTGGAAATCGTTTCACCCTCTGTGGCATGCCTAACTATATCCATTCAGACAGGGGTTCTTCCTTCATGTCTTCGGAACTCGAAGAAAAGAATACCTGTCGCGGAAGAGTGGCTACAAGTAGAACCACTCTTAATACTCCGCTTGTAGTATAGGCAACGCG